TTATTAAGACAAGAGGATCAATCTTCTCAAAGCCAGGCTTTCATCCAAAGGGGAAATGGGTCAGATCATTATATTTCACGGATTAGGGCTTCTTGTTCACCTGATACACTTGATGGAGGAAGAAGAAGGTTGATGGGTGGTGCGAGGCCTAGCGAAGCACTGGGTGACAGGCAAAAGATCTCTGAGGTCCCAAAATCAGTCCTCAACGAATCCGAAATTCATTTGGGCTTAGCAAACATTGTCGACAGATCAAAGGATGATGCTCTGTTATGCGGAATATTGATGGCTAAGCATGAGATAAGAGGAGAGGCTGCGATACTCGATGATGAGGTCATTGGGAGAGATCAGCTAGTGAAGGATGTGGAGGAAGGAAAGTACAATACCCATGAGATGTTACAAGTTCTTGAAGGCTACAGGTCAATTTACAGCTCAGATGAGTCAAGATTTCCAAAGGATGAAGATGATAATAACTAACTGTTAGAGGAGGATTGTGATCCCAAATTGAATTGGCTTTTCCAGGATGATGAGATTCTGCCACCTTCTTGCGCAAGATTCACTGAGGTCCTAGACAGTGAGAAGGCCTTCGACTCCGAAAAGATTGATCATGCAGACAAAAGGTTTAAGATTCACATTCTTCTAGTTCTAAGCACACTGTGAGGCCTAAGGGTGAGAAAGTCTTTGACTCTTGTGCAAAAGTATGTCGACTCTTTTGACAGCGACAATATGAACTCTTCACTTGCTAAGCATCTTCAGTGTATTCAATCTGAATCAGTTCTTGGGCCCTTTTTTCTCACATCCTAGTAGAGTGTTTTCTACAAAGAATGATAATTTTCTTCAGTTATCTGCGAGTAGGTCCTCTACTAGTGATAGGTCAAACCCACAGGCGATTAACATGGATAACCATAGGAATGATCTTCTGATGGAAGTGTCTACTAATCATAAGCTTCAAAAGAGCAATGTTCTTGGGAATGGTGGTGATGAATCTGAGATGTGGTTGAGGAAAATGAGCAAGTATGTGTTTTTCCCTTTGGAGGAGGGAAAAGTGCCTCACTTTGTACAATTGCTTGACACTCTTGGTCTGTCACTAGTTAGGAACAATGGAATGAAGCCAAGGTCTAGGAGTGTGGGGTTTGCATCTCAGGGGGTAGTAGTCATAGAAGTTCGGGGCTTAGAAAAGGGATAAGGAAACTAAGGAATCTTGAAAGTGGCATCAATTATGAGGGTCGGGGGAAGAGACAAGGGGTGATGTTGGTTGTCGATGAAAATTTTGAGTTGGAATGTTAGAGGACTGCGGTCCTGTAGGAAAAGGGCGGTAATTAAAGAGTTTTTGAAAGTTCATCAACCATATATACTGATGTTTCAAGAGACGAAGAATGAGGATTGGGATAGGGTTTTCATTAGGAGTGTTTGGAGAACCGGTTTAAGAGATGGGTTGTTTTACCTTCTAGTGGGAGATCGCAAGGAATTTTGATTATATGGTACAAAATAGTTGTATTGGAGTGTGAGATAGTTGTTGGGGTTTTTTCATTGTCCATTAGATTTAGGAACCGGGATAATAAGAAACGTTGGTTGACAGGGGTTTATGGTCCCAACAAGCCTAGTAGTTGTCAGGCACGATGGGAGGAGTTGGCGGGTTTATTTGGGCTGTGTTCTCCTAATTGGTGTGTGGGTGGGGATTTCAATGTGGTTCGGCTTAGTTCGGAAAAACTCAATAGGGTTTCCACAAATAGGAGTATGTGGGACTTTGATTCTTTTATAAGGGCGTGCGATTTGATTGATCTTCCCTTGAGTAATGCTCGGTTCACATGGCCTAATCTTCAGGAGAATCTTATGTGTTGTAGGTTGGACAGATTTCTTTATACTTTAGGGCGAGAGGAGTTGTTTTTGGATATAAGGCAAGAGGCTGGGCCAAGAGGTTGTTACATCACTCTACAAAATTCTAACAAAAGTGCTTTCTAAGAGACTTAGGGTGGTCCTTGGGGAAACCATTTCTTCTACACACGGTCGATTTGATTGAGGCAGATATTGGATGTTCTCGGTTCACATGGCCTAATCTTCAGGAGAATCTTATGTGTTGTAGGTTGGACAGATTTCTTTATACTTTAGGTCGAGAGGAGTTGTTTCTGGATATAAGGCAAGAGGCAGGGCCAAGAGTTCGTTACATCACTCTACAAAATTCTAACAAAAGTGCTTTCTAAGAGACTTAGGGTGGTCCTTGGGGAAACCATTTCTTCTACACGCGGTGCCTTCGTGTTTGTGCAGGGAAGGCAGATATTGGATGTTGTCTTAGTGGCTAATGAGGTAGTTGAGGAGTATAGGGATTACATAAGGAGGGTGTTGTTTTTAAGGTTAATTTTGAAAAAGCATATGACCAAGTTGATTTGGGCTTTGTGGATTTCGTTTTGGAAAGGGTTTGGATCTAGGTGGAGAAGGTGGATTTGGGGGTACTTGTCGTCATGCACTATGTCAGTCATTGTGAATGGCAAGGTTGGGAATTCTTTATCACCATTTTTGTTTATTCTAGTCACTGATGTGTTGGGTCGAATTATTGACAAAGCTAGGGATAAGAGTGTGGTGCCATTGAGGATTTTGTGGTGTGAAGAGATAGGATTGGAGTCACTCATTTGCAATTTGCGAATGATACTATATTTTTCTCATCAAAGGAGGAAAGTAAAGTAAGTAGTTTGCTAAAGATTTTGAGAATTTTTTAAATTGTATCGGGCCTCGAGGTCAATCATAGCAAAAGTAGTGTTGTGGGTATTAATCTGGGAGATAGCTATGTGCAAAGGGTGGGGGATATGTTGGGATGTTCCATTGAATCCTTTCCTCTCAAATACTCGGGGCTTCCATGGGAGGAGATCCTAAATTGACGTCCTTTTGGGAGCCTATTCTTGTCAAAATTGGGAAAAGATTGGAGAGATGGAAGCGAGCTTTGTTGTCTAGGGGGAGACGATATACTCTGGTACAATCCGTATTAGGCTCTGTTCCTATTTCTTTTCCCTATTCAAAATTCCAATTAGCATTGTGAGGAATATTGAGAAATTGATAAGAGGTTTTCTTTGGGAAGGGTGTGAAGAGGGTAAAAGGGTTCATTCCAATAATAATAAATAATTGTATCACCTACATACTGTAAATGAGGCATGCAAATCTTGTCCATCCAATAACAAACCTATCAACTAAACAAACCTATCAACTAATCCAACCTCCCTAGCTCTATCAATCAACCTCCCCAACACATCTACCACCAAGATAAACAGGGAGACAAAAAAAAAAAAAGACAAAGAAGAAGATAATGGGTCAACTTATCTCAAACCTCGAGATGCCCTAAAGGTTTTCCCTGTCTTTCTATTGACAATGATTGATACATCACAAAGCTAAAAAAACAAAACAATCCAAATTTAATAGACACTACCTAATTATGAAAAACAAAGTACATAAACAAAAGAGCATAAATCCTAATAATCTAAAGGGTAAATATCACTTCACATAGTTAATATATTGACCGATTCTCACTTCACCCCTTAAGCTTTAAATTTTCCCAATTGAGCCCTAACACAATTTGACTTTTTGTATGTATAATCACTTTGGAAAATCCATGGAAATGTCACCCACTTAGCTTACGGAAATGTCACTTTGTCTTGACCAAATAGGCCTCAAGGCAATCCAAGGAATTTTCAAAAAAGAATTGCCCTTAGATGTATGCTATACTATAACTTATTTATCGACATTATACAAACTATAACTAAAAATATATACTTATATCTTCCCACCATATTTTGACATAATAGAGCATTTTAAAAACTACAAGATTGACCACACCACGTCATACTCGTTCATCAACCTCCTACCATCATCTTATGATCCCCACCCCCCTCCCTTCCAACTTGTCCACAAACTTGCCACACAAACACCATATTGACCCCACCATCACTAACTCCACTACCAGAAAACCCATAACCCACTGATTTTCTCCCTCACCTCTATGCTTAGTCTATAACTAATTGGAATACATCAACAATCATAAACCTCTGCTAAACATTCCCAACCAACTTGTACCACCTCTACCTTGTCCATACACCTCTCCACCCCACCCCCAAACTCAGGCACCATGACCATGACCATCACCATGTCCATCACCATCACTATATCACAACCACCAACTGCACATGCCCCCATCTCTCTCCACAGAACCAGCACACCTCCACCCCACCATCAAATCCCATGCCTCTCCATCTCTTGCTCGAGTCCAGCAATCAACTACCTCTACCCTCCACCGCCACACCCATCAAACCAATAATTGCCACCAAAACTAAAAACCACAACACTCAGAGTCATATATATGGAGAGAGAGAGAGAGAGAGTAATTACATTCACAAAACCCATCCACTAGTCCACCAGCATCAGCACCCAAGCCACCACCACAAACCCAAAGCAGCTGCCAGCAAAATCAGCCCCACATTGCCACTTAAACCACCCCCGCATCTCAATTAAACACCCCTACCCCACCACATGCGCACCCCACTCCAAATCTAACATTATTTTGTATAACATTGCTACATACATTTATTGATCTAGATCAAATATACTATTATGATGATGATGATGACAACTCAACTCAACTCAACCAGCCATGGGGTTGACTGCATGAATCCTATATTAACATCGGCAATAATTTCAGTGAAACCACAACATATACATATATAGTAAGTGATCGAGTTCAAATAATTATTCCACATGCAGTTAATTAAGGCCAGCAGCCCCACCTCATTCCCCCTATGGAGGGTTTGTGGCGTTTGCCTAGGTTTGATTCATAAAAAGGTGGGAGGAGGGTCGTCCCCACCCAAACACCTTCCATGCACATCTTAAGAAAGGATATCCTTATTGCATGAAATAAAAACAATAGTACATTAATGATCTCAAGAATTAGAAACTTTCAACCACATCAATTATACAAATATAGAGGGGGGAGAAAAAAAAAAAAAAGGAACTGGTCATATTACCATTATTTATAAATTGTTTCATGGTAATCTCATACTCTACAAGACCACGCACAAGTATACACCAGCCAAGGGCAATATACCGGTCCTCTTTTCTTCTTATGATGCCGGCAAGATTTGTTGCAAGAGCTTGGAAAATAATTTCATCTTGAAAAAGCCAATTAAAAAGTAGCATTGCTTGGTTACCATGCTTTGATTCCTTGTGTTTCAATGACTGGGGAAAAATTAAAAAACAAAAGAGGATATCAATGACAAATTATAAACAAAATTTAAAGAAACTGATATTATTAAAAACAAATAGGCATAAACTTCTAGTGAATAAAGAAGGGAGGAACTTGCAACAGGTAAAAGGATTGGGAAAACAATGGGTGCAGTGCTGTGACGGAGTAGAAATTTTAATCCCCATAAACCCAAAGAAAGAGACAAGGAAAAAGGGAGAGAGAGAGAGAGAGAGAGAGAGAGAGAGAGTTCACAGCAATGCAAAAGGATAAAAAGAAATTTCCAAATTATATTGGTATAGTACATCAATTAAAATGACTTTTAAATTGAAATGAGAAATGGGTTTTTTTTTTTTTTTCAGAATTCCATCACTCCCCTAAAATGGTAATATGAAATTAAATTTTCTTCTTGATATTTAATTAACTTGAAATAGAAAGGACAAACAAGAATGAATTCTGAAAGTTGATGTACATGTTGAGTAATGGGAACGAGGATTTCATCCAAAGAATCCTCCCTCTGAGCTGCTTCTCAAACGTAGGTGTGAAGAATCCACAGTGATTCTTCCAAAGTAACTGCAATAATGCAATAATACCAAGTTAAGATTATTTCATAACTTGAATAACATACAAGAACAAATTCAAAGTTTTAATAATTCTCCGTCCAAATTTCAGTAAACTTGTCTTTCTTCAAAAGTTGTAAAGATCACTCAAGATTATTTGCTGTCTCTCTCTCTCTCTCTCTCTCTCTCTGAAATGTTTTGGCTTTGAAAAACGTACCAAATGAGCCTCTTTTGGGAGGAGAGTGGAGTCGAGAAATAGCGTCTTGAAGCTTCTTGGGACGGACACTGAGCAGAGTGCTCACCACTCGACCAAGCGTCGCTGATACCATCGAGTTGGAGTTGGAGTTGGAGTTGGAGTTGGAGACTGTTGATGGCCAGAGAACCTGCTCGTCTTCCATTGGTGAGAACAGTCTGGTATCTATCAACCCTTGCTTTCCCTTGCTTTAGGGGGTTCAATTCGAAGCTAATCGAGTCAGATTGGGATATGTCTAGTTTGTAAGACTAAATAAGTGTACTTTTTTATTTTTTATAAAATATGGATTGAATTTGAGTTGGGTTTAAATTAATGTGTTAAAGAGGGGATGTGACTTAAATAAGATGATGTAACTTAAATAGGATAGTGACTTTTTGACTTTTTTTAATCATGCCAAACTTAGCCATAATTGGCACAACAGCAACAGCAGGGGATAGATTAATTGAAATTTGAAACTAACGAAAGCAAGGCAAGCAGTCAAAACTAGTTGAAACTAGGGTAGGGTTTTTATTCTGGCAAGTCGTAAGCTTTCTATACCACATGCCGGTGCAAATCGAACTTGTTTTATGCTCCATTTGGTAGACCAGTTGGAAGCCAGTTGGATAGTGATTATTAATTATGATTTATCGGTTATAATTTTAAATACAAGTTAGTGATTTATAGATTACGAATTATGATTTATCCGTTATAATTTTAAATATAAGTTAGTGAAGTGATTTATAGATTATGAATTAATAGTCGATAGATTATAGTTTTAAATATACCGTTATAATTTTAAATATAAGTTAGTGAAGTGATTTATAAATTATGAATTAATAGTCGATAGATTATAGTTTTAAATATAAATTATTAATTTTTTTAGTGTAGTTGTGAAATTATAAATTTAATTAGTAAAATAGTATTTGATTGAATAAGTTGTAAAATAATATTTTCTTTTTGTTTTTTTTTCTTTTTCTTCATTTTATCTTCTTTTCTTTTCTCTTCTTTCTTTTTTTTTTTTCTTCTCTTAATTATTTTTTATTCTCTTCTTTCTTGTTCTTCTCTTCTTACATATTAATTATATTCATATATTTATATTAATTGTGATTTCATTAATTAGTATCAATTAATACTAAAATTATTAATTAGTATCAATTAATATAGTCAAATTTTTTTCATTAAACAATCAATTTTTTTTTCATTACAAAACCCTAGCCGCCGGCCCCTTTCTTCTCCTCCATCCGTACGCCACTGACCCCTTCTTCTCCTCCTCCTCCTCCTCCTGATCTTCCATTTTAGACTAGCGACTAGCTAGTGCTGTAAAACCCTAGTTGTCGATCTGCAAAACCCTTCTTCTCTTTCTCCTCTTCATCCTAATCGCGAAGCTCTCGTTTGCGAAACCCTAACCATTGGTCTAAAACGGCATTGATGTGATGGTATTGATGCGCAAGCCGTCGATGCAGGTGTGGGAGGTGGCGGAAAGAGAGGAAACACCAGAGATGATTTTCGATTTTCAGATTGCGATGGAAGGGAGAGAGGAGAGGAAGAGCTCTCGTTCGTGAAACCCTAATTGCCGGTCTGAAATGATGTTGATGCGCAATGAAGAGAGAGGGAGGAAGGAAGAAAGAGCCCTGGTTTGTGTGTATGCGTGTTTGAGAAAGAGAATGAGAGAGAGAAAGAGAGAGAGAGCGAGAATTGAAAGAGAGAATTGATAACAATGTTGAGGAGCTAGAAATCGCCCTCGCTGAAAATCGCCCCTCGCCGAAAATCGCCTCTCTCTCTCTCTCTTTCAAGTGAACAATGTTGAGAACAAGGCTCATATAGTGGGTTTTTGGTAATAATTGAAATATCTGAGGGTCATTTAAGTCATTACACGCCTCAACAAACAGTTGCGCGCACAATCAGTTTTCAAAAAGCACCTGGGAACTAACTTAACAGATTATTGCTAAAATGGCTTAAGTTAATCTATAATCCATCCCCCATAATTTTTACCAAACACTCTAACACGACTTATTTTAAGCTATAAGTTGATTTATGCTGCAAATAAGTTTTACCGAACACCACTTAATAAGGAAGAACATCCCCTCCGGTCCACATTTTGGACTCGAGCCACTCACATGGATTTTGTTTTGATAATTATTTATGAGCGCTGATATTAGCCCCCACCTAATTAGTTTGGCCCTTCCATTTCTTTAAACTCCCACTTAGCAAAATGAAACTCTGATATTTTTTTTAAACCCCCACCTTAATACCAACTATACTCCTAATCCCAAAACCAAACCCAAACCCAAACCCTAACACCTTTCACTTCTCTCTCTAATATGGATTCTCTCACTTTCTTCTTTATTTTCTTCCATTCAAATCAAGTATGAGCGAGAAACAGAGCAAGAGAAAAGACTCATCAACAATGGCCACCATTAAAACCTCTATCACAGGCTATGGCGAGTGATTGCTTGCATTTCTTCTCCATCTTCTCTATTTTCTTCTTCATCTTCTTTTGAAAACCATAGGTTTTCATCTCTGTCTCTCTCTCTCTCTCTCTCTCTCATTCTCTCTCGCAATGGATAGGGAGGTCACGATGGCGGAGTGGGTTCAGCAACATAGTGCTAAACAAATCTTGAATGTTCGGTAACACAGTGTTGAACAAATCTTGAATGTTCGGCAACACAGTGCTGAATGAATCCTTTTAGTTCAATAACACAATGCTGAATGGGATTCAGATCTGCAGTAAGGGGATGAGGGTGCTTGTCGATGGAGGTGATGGTCGATTGCAACAGAGGGAGTAGTGGCTGTGACAGTGAAGAGTGGTCAGAGATGGTAGAGGTTGCAGCGATGAGGGGAGGTCGGAGATGGTGGTGGTTGCAGCGGTGAGAGGTGGTCGGAGATAGTGGTATTGCCGAAGGCGATTAAGGTTAGGGTTAGGGTTAGGATTAGGGTTAGAGTTTGGAAAATTAGGTTTAGAAGATAAGGAATAAGGGTAAAAGTGAAATTTTAGATTAGGACAAAATTGGGAAAAAAAAAAAAATGAATGAGGTGGGGGTTCTAAGAAAAAAACGTAGGAGTTAATAGCAATGCTCTTATTTATATCGTTTATTTTCTCGAGTATTTTATATATTTTATTTATATAAAAATTAAGTCAATTTAATAATTAAAATTTATTAAATATTTTTATAAAAAAAATATATGATTTATTTTTAAAAATATAATTTTTTTTAAAGTTAAAAACAAGATTAATTAAATAAATTACAGTTATTGGATCGATCTAATTTTTTGTATAGATAATATACACAAAATGTCTGATAAAATAAACTGTTCAAATTATCAAAATGGGATCCATGAGGACCCTACGGGCCCAAATAGCATCCTTTAATCTAAAATATGAATTGGAGAGGATCTTCCTCCTTTTAATAAATTAGTTGACCCGACACGTAGTCATCATGTAGTTATAATATTTGTTTTTTATTTTTTATTGTATTTTCGTATTAGACAATATTGTTTTATATGTTATTAGATATTTTTTGTGAGTGTGTGAATAAATTTATTAGATTTTATATATGGTAGTGAAAATTTAATAAATAAATAAAAAATTGACAAATTTTTAATATTGAGATGGGTAGGAAATCACAATTTTTGGTATTTGTAAAATATATATATATATATATTGAAACATAATTCTGGGGACATAATTTTGATATGGCTCAGGTTGTTAGTCGAAGTTGCAAGTAGGTGGCAGTGATTAACTGAGGCATGATATGATCACACGAAAATCTGCGATATTCAAAGAAGGACTAGAGTCAAAGATGATGGCAAATCTTTTGTTTGGATGAGATAAGACTTGAGAGAGTTTATCTTCTTCAGGTTAGAGGAGTTCTATATAAGAGCTATCTTAAAAAGGGATAAGAGTCCTATTAAGTGAGACTTTTAGGACGAGGAAGGCATGGATTACTATAAAAGGCAGGCATCGCCATGGGTTTAAGGTACATTTTAATTGAGATTAATTACTTAAGTTGATTATAATATAAGTTGTTAATTTATTTAATGTAGTTATGAAATTCTAAATTTAATTAGCAAAATAGTATTTAGTTAAATAAATTGTAAAATAATATTTTGTTGTGTAACGTCCTTTTTGCCTTTTTTTTCTTTTTCTTTATTTTCTTTTCTTTTTTTACTTATTTTCTTTTCTTTTCTTTCTTTTTTTTTCCCTCTCTTAATTGTTTTTATTCTCTTCTTTCTTGTTCTTCTCTTCTTACATATTAATTATATTCATATATTTATATTAATTGTGATTTCATTAATTAGTATCAATTAATATAATCAATTTTTTTTCATTAAACAATCAATTTTTTTTTCATTACAAAACCCTAGCCACGGGCCCCTTTCTTCTCCTCCATGCGTACGCCGCCGGCCCCCCCTCCTCCTCCTCCTTATTCTCTTGTATTTCAGACTAGTAACCAGCTGGTATTGTAGAAACCTAGTCGCCGATTTGAAAAACCCTTCTTCTCCTTCTCCTTTTCATCTCAATCGCAAAGCTCTCGTTCGCGAAACCCTAGCCACCGGTCTGAAACGTCATTGATGTAACGGCATTGATGTGCAAGCCGTCGATGCAGGTGTGGGAGCCAGTGGAAAGAAAGGGAACGCCAGAGATGATTTTCGGTTTCAGATCGCGATAGAGAGAGAGAGAGGGGGGGAGGGAGGAGGAAGAGCTCTCGTTCGTGAAACGCTAGCCGCCGGTCTGAAATGACGTTGATTCACGATGAAGAGAGAGAGGGGGAGGAAGAGCTCTGGTTCGTGTGTATGTGTCTTTAAAAAAGAGAAGGAGAGAGAGAGAGAGAGAGAGAAAGAGAGAGAGAGAGAGAGAATTAAGAACAGTGTTGAGGATCCGGAAATCGCCGCTATCACTCTCTCTCAAGTGAACAATGTTGAGAACAAGGCTCATATAGTGGGTTTTTGGTAATAGTTGAAATATCTGAGGGTCATTTAAGTCCTTACACGCCTCAAAAAACAGCTGCGCCCATAATCAGTTTTCAAAAGCACCTAGGAACCAACTTAACAGATTATTGCTGAAATGGCTTAAGTTAAGCTATAATCCGTCCCTCATAATTTTTACCAAACACTCCAACATGACTTATTTTAAGCTATAAGTTGATTTAAGCTACAAATAAGTTTTACCAAGCACCCACTTAATAAGGAAGAACATCCCCTCTGGTCCACATTTTGGAC